TCTGGGCTAGTGTCATACCCTCTCATCCCAATAATAATAATAATAATAATAATAATAATAATAATAATAATAATAATCTTTATTTATATTCCACTTTATCTCCCCGAGGGGACTCAGAGTGGATTACAAGATACACAGATAGGCAAACATTCAATGTCTTTTCATACAGTGAAGTAACAAAGACACACAAATGCACATAACAAAGGTAAAGGCTTCCCCTTTCATCTCTGGCTTCTGGAGGCGGTGCTCAACTCTGGCCATGGGGAGGTGCTCTTTCTCTATTTCCAAGCTGAGGAAGCCTGTTGTCCGTAGATACCTCCTGGTCACGTTGCCGGCATGGGCGCCTTTTATTATCTTCCCACCGAAGCGGTACCTATTGATCTACTCATATTTGCATATTTTCGAACTGCTAGGTTGGCAGGAGCTAGGGTAACAGAGGGAGCTCACCCTGACCCGCAGCTTTGAACTGACAACCTTTAGGTTAGCAGATTCAACAGTTCAATGTTATCCTGTTGTGCCACCGTGACCATGGAAAGCCATGTGCTAGTGCAGCATTTCTCAGCCTCTGTTCAAAAGCCTCCAAGGAAGGAGCTTCCTCCACACTCCAAGGCAGACAGTTCCACTGCTGAACAGCTCTTCTTACAGTCAGGAAATTGAGCCAAGGCAGTCCAAGTGCATTCATTCTACAGTAGTGCTTCTCGATCTGAGAGTCGGGACCCTGGGGGGGGTCACCAGGGGTTGTCAGAGGAGTCGCCAAAGACCATCAGAAAACACAATATTTTCTGTTGGTCATGGGGGTTCTGTGTGAGAAGTTTGGCCCAATTCTATCATGGGTGGAGTTCAGTATGCTGTTTGATTGTAGGTGGACAATCAAACAGGTGTATTAAGGGGTCATGGCATTAGGAAGGTTGAGAAACACTATGCTAGGGTTTCTCTAAGCCAACCTAATTCTATGTTGGAAATGAATTGGAAGTAAGTGATAATAACAGTAGGTGCTGCTCTCTTGAGTGCAGTGGTTCCCAACCTTTTGGCCGTGCCCCATCTAAGCATCACTAAAATCCTGATGCCCCCACCCATCCCTGACATATAATTCTTATTATTCAAAAAGTGAGCTCCTATTTATTCACGTGGAGGAAGCCTAAAAGGTCATTTATTTGGTCTAAAGAACATAAAAGAATAAAAGGACACCTGAAATACTGAGTAAGGTATTACTGAGAAACTGATGATGATGATGATGATAATATGAAGTGTTATGAAAAAACAGCAAATAAAGCTTCAGAAGGATTGCTGTGAGTTTTCTGAGCTGCATGGCCATGTTCCCGAAGCATTCTCTCCTGATGTTTCGCCCACATCTATGGCAGGCATCCTCAGAGGTTGTGAAACTAGGCAAGTGAGGTCCAGGGTGGGAGAAATAACTTTTGTCTGTTTGAGGTAAGTGTGAATGTTGTAAATGGCCACCTTGATTAGCATTTAATGGCATTGCAGCTTCAAAGCCTGGCTGATTGCTGCCTGGGAGAATCCTTTGTTGGGAGGTGTTAGCTGGCCCTGATTGTTTCATATCAGGAATTCCCTTGTTTTTTGTTTTTTTTAGTTTTGCTTTTATCTACTGTACTAATTTTAGAATTTTTTAAAATACTGGTAGCCAGATTTTGTTCATTTTCATGGTTTCCTCTTTCCTGTTGAAATTGTCCACTTGCTTGTAAATTTCAATGACTTCTTTGAATGGCTTCAGAACATAACAGAGGACAGAAACGCATAAAAATAAAATTATTTTAATGGAAGTATTTTCTGTAATACTTTGATAGTTTTAAGTGCTATACCAAAAGACATTTTATGTATTTTGTATAGCTTGCAGGGTTAAAAGAACACTGAAAGAGTAGTCGGGTGTTTGGAAGGAGAGCTGCCTCCCTTTTCTGTGCAAATGGAAGCACAGTTTTGGCTGTGTATTGTCGAAGGCTTTCATGGCCGGAATCACTGGATTGTTGTAGGTTTTTTCGGGCTATATGGCCATGTTCTAGAGGCATTCTCTCCTGACGTTTCGCCTGCATCTATGGCAAGCATACCTCTGAGGATGCTTGCCATAGATGCAGGCGAAACGTCAGGAGAGAATGCCTCTAGAACATGGCCATATAGCCCGAAAAAACCTACAGCAACCCAGCTTTGGCTGTATTTCCTTCCCTTTGAATAAGGGCTGTTTTGAGTCTTGATCCAGAGAGAAAAGTAGGGTCGAAATAATCCTCCTCCTCTCTTTATTAAGCTCCCTCTGAGCCCTCTTTATCCTGTATCTACTCATTTTTCTGTTTTTCCTCACCAATCGCCCAGCCTTTGCACTTGCCTTCACCCTTTTTCTTTTCTCCATCCCATAGGTTTTCCTTAATCCTATTTCTCTCACTCTTCTGTCTATCCTCTAGGACCCTCACTTGAGGGTTTGGTCTCAAGATTCAAGTACTGAATGCAGTTCAGCACCACTTTAACTGCCATGGCTGAATGCCATGGACTCATGGGAGTTGTAGTTGAGTGGGCCACCAACCCTTTTTAGCCAAAAAGACAAAAAAACAAAAACAAACCTCATAACACAACTCCCAGGATTCCATATAATTAATTCGAAATCATCTGCCCTTCCCTCTTTTGTTGTGACCATTAGTATCCAGGACTTTTTGTCTGCTTGGACTTTTTTGTGTCTGTTCTGTGTTTGTATGGGTGCATCTACACTGTAGAATTAATGCAGTTTGACAACACTTTGATTGCTATTGCTCAAAGTTGTGGAATCCTGGGAGCTGTAGTTTTCCAAAGACTTTAACGGTCTCTGCCAAAGAGTCCTTGTGCTTCATCAAACTGCAACTCCCAGGATTCCATAGCATAGAGACATGAGGGAAAGGTTAACATTCCTGCAATGTTTGCTTTGCTGTCTGTGCCACTGTTCAAAAAATTTCACCTCACTTTCTGGAGCCCCCGGTGGCGCAGTGGGTTAAACCTCTGTGCTGGCAGGACTGAAGACCGACAGGTCACATGTTCGAACCCGGGGAGAGGCGGATGAGCTCCCTCTATCAGCTCCAGCTCTTCATGCGGGGACATGAGAGAAGCCTCCCACAAGGATGATAAAAACATCAATTCATCCGGGTGTCCCCTGGGCAACGTCCTTGCAGATGGCCAATTCTCTCATACCAGAAGCAACTTGCAGTTTCTCAAGTCGCTCCTGACACGACAAAACAAAAACAAAAACAAAACTTTCTGTGCCTGTGATAATTTGATTTTGAAAATATTGGTTTGTTGTGGAAACCAGGATTGGTGACACAGCTTCAGTTGAGACACCTTTTCCCCATAACTCTTTCAGGAGAGAATTTCCCTTCCGAGGGGTAGATTTCTCTCTGTTCCTGTTGTCTTGCCCCTATTCTTAACTATGAGTCATTTGTAAGTCAGATGTTTGTAACTCGGGGACTCCCTGTACTGTATTGACAAGAAACCACAAGCGCCATCTAAACCCATTGTGTTATGCAGAGATACACAATTAAAGCACTCCGGGCAGATGGCCATCCAGCCTCTGATTAAAAATTTCCTGAAATAGAGGCCCCTTCTACAATGCCATATAAAATTCAGATTATCTACTTTGTACTGGATTTTATGGCAGTGTATGTCAGAAAGATTAAAAATTAAGTATTTTTAATTACAAAAGTGTGAGTCAAAAACTGACAGGGTTAAATGGATACAATGACTCAGCAAAAGCTACAGTTCAGTATGTGGCTGTAGCTTAGTAGCCCTCAGTCTGAAGGAGACTCAAGTCTGTTAGAGGTTTCTGTGGGAGAAGGGTCTCAGTATAAGAGGACCTCAGTGTTAGTTTGCCTTAGTCTGAGGTAGCCCTCAGAATGAGAGAAGCCTCAGAGTGAGAAAGCCTCAGTGGGAGAAAGACCTCAGTGTGAGGTAGGACTCAGTGTTAGTAGGCCTGGTATGTGAGAAGCTTCGGTGAGTGGAGCTCCAGTTGAAGGCCATTGTGTATGAAGGCTGATGGGTGTAAAAAGCTCCTGTGTGAAGCTCCTGTAACTTTGGTGTGAGGAGAGGCTCTGTGAGAGTGAAACTGTTTATCTGCATGAGAAAGAAGCCCAGTGTGGAAGCAGAGAAGGAAATGTAAATAACTTTATTTATGTTATGGAAACCTTGTTGTTGTAAATAGTGCAATCATATTATTTTACTACAAAGAAAAGCCTCCTATGGAAGAGATTTATTATTTATTTATTTATTTACTCCATTTGTATACCGCATTTATCAGCCTGGAGCGGCGACTCAATGCGGTTTACAGTAAAACTAAACAGTGAACAATAAATAAGACGCACATCGACAAACAATACACATAATCATCAACGCCTACTTAGAATCAGATCCCGTTCTCATAGTCCTTAATTCAATCCTTGTTCAATGCCGTCATTATTGGGTGGTTGTTACTGCATAGCTAACCGAATGCCTGCTCATAGAGCCACGTCTTAACCCTCCTTCGGTCCATGTGTTTTTGTTCTTTTTATCAGTTTGAGCTACTGGTGTTGATAAGTTACTCTGCTATACATTCAAGGGGAGGGCCTTTTGTTATTAAGCCCACTCACTCAACAGTGCAGACTCATATAATCCAGTTCAAAGCAGATAAAGTGGATTACCTGCTTTGATAATCTGGATTATATGGCAGTGTAGAAGGGGCTGGAAACTCCATCACACTCCAAGGCAGCATTTTCCATTACTGGGATCTTACTGGCAATTCTTTGTAATATTCAGATGAGATATCTTCTCCTGGCATTTGAATCCATTGCTTCATGTCCTAATCTAACCCTCTCCCCCTCAATGTGACTTCCTTTCAAATATTTAAACATGGCTACCATGTCCCCACAGCCTTCGCTTCTTCAGGCTAAACATACCCAGCTCCCTAAGCTGCTGTTCATTGGGCTTGGCTTCCAAACTTCTAGATACATTCCAGCTTGTCCATCTTGATCATATTTGTTTTTCTTTTCTCCTTTTAGCAGCTGATAAATTACTGAACAGCAATAACAATGATGAGGATGATGATGATGATGATGACGATGATGAAGAGGAGGAGGAGGAAGATGAAGGCCCCGAGGAGCTGCGCCCGGGTACATCTCAAAGCACCCCCAGGAGGGTGAAGGCCTTGCCTCGCCGGGTCACTCCTCAGCCACAGAAGATCGTCCCAGTGGTGAAGAAGGACAAGGCCACCCAGCGTGGCCATGCTCTGAAGAAAAGCTTGGAGAGCCGCTGCTCGGATTGTACGAGGGTCCTGCACACCACCAGCCGGGGCCGTCAGCGGAGTGAAGCCAATGCTGCCCGGGAGAAACCCTTCCAGTGCACGGATTGTGGGAAGAGCTTCATTTGGAGCTCGCATCTGGAGCGCCACCGGCGGATGCACACGGGGGAGAAGCCCTTCAAATGCCTCAACTGCGGCGAGGCCTACAGCCAAAACTTCCATCTCCTCCAGCACCGCTGCTCCCAGCTCATTGAGAAGCCCTTCAAGTGCGCTGAGTGTGGAAAGCGTTTTGCTCAGAGCTCTGCCTTGGAGAACCACCAGAAGGGCCACACGGCTATCAAGCGCCACAAGTGCAACGATTGCGGCAAGTGTTTCATTTGGGCTTCCCACCTGGAGAGGCACCGACGAGTCCATACCGGCGAGCGGCCCTTCAAGTGCCCCGAGTGTGGCGAGACCTACAGCCAAAGTGCCCACCTGGCCAAACATCGGCGGAACCACATGGGCGAGCGACCTTACAACTGTCCAGCCTGCTGGCGAAGCTTTGCTCTGATTTCAGAGCTGGAGGAGCACAAGAAAACTCACCTGGGTTGCGAGGATTGTGGGAAGGTCTTCCGGAGCCGGCAAACGCTGATGCGGCACCAGCGAGGCCACCGCCGGGAGCGCACCCACCTCTGCGAAGAGTGCGGTAAAGGGTTTGTGTGGGCCTCTCACCTGGAACGCCACCGCCGGGTCCATACCGGAGAGCGCCCTTTCCCCTGCCCCACCTGCGGGGAGAAGTTTGCTCAGAAGGTCCACCTCCTCCAGCACAACAAGACCCACTCGCACACACGGCCCTACAAATGCGGGGACTGTGACAAGCGCTTCGGGGACAGCTCAGCATTTCTTGCCCACCAGCGGGGCCACGCCATGGAAAAGAACCACAAGTGCCAGTACTGTGGCAAGAGCTTCGCCTGGAGCTCCCACCTGGAGAGGCACCTGAGGATCCACACTGGAGAGAAGCCCTATAAATGCCCCGACTGCCCTGAGCACTTTAGCCAGACCTCCCAGCTCTTCAAGCATCAGCGAAGCCACCTGGGCAAGAGGCCCTACAAGTGCAACGAATGTGGGCGTTGCTTTGGCACCACCTTGGAAGTCATCATTCACCAGCGGACCCATTTTGGGACCAAGCCCTACCGCTGTTCCAACTGCGGCAAAGGCTTCACCCGCCGGGCCAATCTCCTCAAGCATCAGAGGAGCCATGGAAAAGAGTGCACTTAAAGAACTTTGGCGCTGGGCCCCAAAGCAGGTGCATGGAGAGCACCTGGAGCCCCCTTGACCAGACAGTCTTGAACCCCTCCCTTCAAGAGAAACCCCTTCTTCTGTATGGTCCAATTATGGGGAGACTCCTCTGTGTTTGGTCCCGCTCTTGCGACAGCACCAAATTAACTTGCAAATGGTCGAGGGATATTTCAGAAGCAAAAATACGCACAGTTAACCAATGCGGAGCTCATTGAAAATGCCTTGATGGAGAGGTGCGGCTGACATCAGCCTTTTTCTTTTCTGTTTTTCTTTTTTGGCGTATAGAAGACCAATTGAGTTTTTAAAAAAGCAACATGTGCTTCTGGGGAATGGACCTTGGTGTAGAATCCATATGGATGTCCGAGTAGCAATTTGTTTGAACACTGTACATAGAACTATACCCCAGTTTGGGGGAAACGAAAGAAGCTTTAGTGGCTGTTCATCCCTATTTTGCAGATCAGAAACCTTGCTTGAGATAGACCAACTCCCTTCTCATTTCCCCCTTTATACTTCTGAACTCTGGATATCAAAGCTTTAACAAACGCCACGGATCAACCTCCAGACCTTAAATGCCTGACAGGTGGACGGTGAGACTTGAGAATCCACATGGAGGTGGAAAAAGGAAACTTCAACCAATCCCTTGAATGTGGTGAAAAAGCTTTATGGAGTGATTCAGCTCAGAAAATCATAATGGCTGGAAGCCCGTAACAAATGTTTTTGCGAGGCAGGCCAGTAATGCCGTGTTCGTACCTGAATACCCAGAGATTGTCTTCATGTGAAATGACAGCATTAGCTAAATGAACGGCATTATCTAGACAAACTGTGGGGTTTCCTGATTATTGTTTTATGAATAATGAAGCCCTAGTTGATGTCTGACCAATCTTGGAATCCCAACTGCTCTTTTTTTCCCTGCTCACAATGGGAGTTACAAGGAAAATACTTCCAGTGACAGAAATGTCCTGGAGATTTTTTTTTTTGGACCATGAACTTGATGGAGATTTTTTGTTGCCTTCCACTTTGCAAACTGGGAGAAGAATGATGGAGCTTAGGTGCCACTGACTGCGAGGGCTTGTCTCTGGTGCTCTTAAAAATATCTTAGTGTTTTGGTCACGGGGGTGAAAAGATGTGTGACTGGGTTTGGGAAAGCAAAGAATAGCTGGTGGAGGGAAGAAGATGCCAAAGGACGATTGCCGCATATGGGGGTACAAACCCCATAAGGGGCTAAGGGGGAATTCAGCTTGGATAAATGGGGAATTGTTTCTGAATTTGAATTCAGAACTACTACCAAACTCAGTTTAGGGAGCTGTGTAACTGCCTATTTGAATTTCTTCCCTTCTTTTAGATTTCTTACTTATTAGATTGCATTTCTGATAGTCCAAATTGGCCTTTTCTTACCCTGGAATAAGGCTTGCGTTTTGTAAAAAAGGAAAAAGGTGGAGGTAAATTCGTAGAAAAAAAAGTCACGTATTTGAAGGTCTGGGATAGATCAACCCTCATGAAGAAGGTATTGCTTGAGTTTCATCTGGAATAAAAAAAATAAATTTAGAAATGCAACAAAAAGAGAGCAATATGTTGTCCCCCTGGGATGGAAAGAAAAAAAAAATCACTATGCTACAATGCAGGGCTAACCCCAGGATGCAGTAAACAACTCATCTGAGTGTGTGCGTGTATACAGAAACCTGTGGGGGAGAAGCAAAAGAGGCTTTGCTGAAAATCCAGTACAGCTAACAGTGGGATTTTTGCACAGGTGAATGAATTAGGGATTGAGACTGAGCATTGTAGAACACTCATCGGCTTTTGGGGAGAATAACTGGATTTATGTATGTGTGGAGTGAGGGAAAGATAGTCTTAGAAATTTGTCTTTATGTTCAGTTGCAATAGATATCCAGGCCCCTGAAACCATGGGACTTAGTGGAAGTCTACTAATGGGTAGTGGACTTCCGCAATCTGATGGGTAGATCAGTGGTTCTCAACCTGTGGATCCCCAGGTGTTTTGGTCTACAACTCCCAGAAATCAAAGCCAGTTAGGATTTCTGGGAGTTGAAGGCCAAAACATCCAGGGACCCACAGGTTGAGAACCACTGGGGTAGATTACTTTTGTGGGGAAGTCAACTTCCAGACCCTTCAGCCTTTAAGGCCATGAGGCTTGGAGTTGTGATCCAAAAAAAATAATCTTGACCCAGCTGTGTGAGACTTTGAAGAGGAGTGGCTTTTCCCCTTGCTGTTTGCCGAGGGAAGTTGTTTCACCTGATGGCTGTGCCTCCCTCGCATACTGCTTTCCATCACCTACCTCAGAGGAAAGGCTGCAAAAGATGCATACCAAGGAATCCCTGGCAATGGCTAAGAGACACATTGGCATTGGTGATCCTGCAAAATATACTGTGCCAGTCCAGCACAATGCTGTTAAGCTTCCCAGGCCCTCTGGACACAGAAAGGAAATGGATCGTTGTGGAGGTTACCCCGAATTAGGTCCCTTGCTTCTGTTACCGTATGCTGACTTCTTTTTTCTTATGTTGACCTATACCTCCCAGCCAGCTCCTTATTGCTATTCTGCCCCTTATTTACTTTCAATCTGTTTTTTTTGGGGGGGGGGATATTATTTGTTTGCCACAATGTGCTCCCATTAATTTCCCCCCTTACCCTATTTTCTTTCACCTTTTTGTTTTCATCCAAAGCATGCAAGCATCTTTTTTTGTCGTCATTGTTTAGTGCCCTTCTCCTCCCTTTCTTCTCAGAACTGACATATAGAGGAATAAAAAAAGTCTAAGCTCTGATTTCTTTGTTGTTGGTTAGGAATAATAAAGTTTTAAAAATTTAGCTGATGAAATTCCGGTTTTGTCTGGTGTGCGTTTATGACTGGGTCTGTTTAAATCAATAGAGCAATTGTGGTAAACTAACTCCCAGCTTCTGTGAAGTGAGACTGTTGGGAGGTGCAGTCCAAAAAACAAGTTGCGACACACAAAACGAAATAAGTCATAAATCTGCGCATCTGGTTTAATAGCTGTAGCTTAAAACCAAATGTTGGTTGCAACTTAGAAACTCAATGGGGACTTGGTCAGACAGACATTATGTAAATTCCATTGATTCAGTAGGTCTTTCAATTAAACTAAAAATTAGGACGAGGTTTTAATATTGACAATACAAAATGTGCCATAAAATGCCAGCATGGCTGGCGAGGGATACATCTACCTCTTGGGAGGGAAGACAGGAGCAGAATTCAAAATGATCTTAACAGATTATAGAGAGATGGGCCCAAACCAACAAAATGAAGTTCAATGTAGACAAATACAAGATACTCCACTTAGCCAGAAAAAATGAAATGCAAAGATACAGAATGGGGGATGCCTGGCTCACCAAGCAGTACATGTGAAAAATATCGTGGACAAGTTACATATGAGGTAACAATATCATGTTTCAGCTAAAAAAAAGCCAATAGAATTGGGATTGTGCATGCAGATGTGCATTCTTGGCCAGTGTGAACCTGTCTACCTGGCTGCAACAGGAGATGGAACTCATTCCATTGTATTGGATGAACAACAATGGCACTCCACATCTGTGGGCAGGGATAATGCTCATCAAGCGTGAGTCTTCTGCCACATCTAAGATCAATGTAAAATTTGGATTCACACGAGAAGAAGGCCGCAGACCTGAATATATGACAGTATGCCCTCTGTTTTTGTAGAGATTAAGGGCACAGGACAACAAAAAAAGCGAAAACCTTCAAATTAAACAAAAATCTGGGAGAACACCTAAGAATTTCTAAGTCCTCCAGCTCAATTCTAAGGTCAACTTCCACAAGAAATCGGGCACAGATTTGCGCTGGAGGACAAATGCCCAGAAAAGGGGTCTCTTTAGGAAATGCTTGATTCTCATGTCAAGTTCTAGCAACTGGGATTAGACAAGACATTTCCATCTTGTGTGAAATAATTATCCTTTCAGTTTATCACTTAGCTGCCATTACCGTTCCTTCTGTGTGTTGCTGCTACAAGTTACAGAAAAAAGTTCTGTCAGTCTCTAAGTACCAAAACTCACGTTCTTCTATCCTCTGATACAACTTCAATCCCACCCCTACACTATAAGAATATTGGTTTTAGGGAAAAATCTAAAAGTTTTTAAGGGGATATGAAGTCTAAACAAAACTGAATACTTTCCAGGTAAACAGAAGATGCATATAGCCTCTATTACAAAAAAAATTGACATTGTTATAAATAGTGGTCCAGAGGCAATTAGGGTTTTCTCAGTGTTTAAAAGATAGAGGGATTCCAGGTGTTAGATAGCGTCTCTAGACACCAATTTGGTTTCTTAAGCTAACCCCTTAGAAAACTCTGTGTGAGAGCAACTTTGCATTTTCAAAAGAAAGTTACCTTTTCCTTGCATTCCATGATTGGAGATTCTGGCCTCCATGCCTTTTTTGTCCCTTTTTGGGGTTCTGTGAATAGTAAGCCCACAGTCACCACCAAGAAAGAATTTCTTTCGTCATGTTTTCCTATTTGGGATTGGGGAATCTCGTTTGGATACATATAGTCATGGTTCTAAATGGTGATCGTTCTCCATGAACCTACTCCCCTTCACAACAATCTGGAAGAGGTTTTTGTACCAGATTAGTTGTCACTGTCATGCAGAACAAACACAGAAAATTTTGGGTTATGGTTACCTAATCACACAAAACATGGATGCTTTTCTGCTCGCAGGACTTGCCCCATGCCTGACCACATAAAGCACAAAACATTTGTTTCTGATTCTGGGACTGTCCTGTGATTTATGGAAGACTTGCTACTTCTGTCTGGATCAGATCAAGATGCTTGAGGCTGGACCGAACCAAGGGCAAACCTTGTTGAGCAAGTTCCCTAGCAAGGTTGCTTGTTGGCTTTTTTCATTTCTTTTTCTCTTTCCACTGGAAGACAACTCCATACAACTAATCCTGTTGTTCAGGGATTGGGAAGTAGATCATGGGCTCTACAGCATCCAACTTGCTGTGGATGCATCTTGCTCAGCTTCATATGTATATGGTGGAGTCTCCCTCTTTGGAAGCTTTTAAACAGAGGCTGGATAGCCATCTGTCAGGGGTGCTTTGAATGCAATATTCCTGCTTCTTGGCAGGGGGTTGGACTGGAATGCCCATGAGATCTCTTCCAACTCTATGATTCTATAACGGAAATAACTCTAGTCGACCTCACTATTGTTGGGAATGGAAGTTGTCAGACAAATCCCCTTATAATAAGGATGGTAAAACATTTGACAGCATTTGACAGCGTTTTAATTCATATGGTCACTTCCATGGTGACGGTGGGTCTACTATTCACAGAATCTGCTTCTGCCCTTCACCCATGACTTCTACTCCCTTAAAATATGACTTCTACTCCTAAAAACAAGCTCCATGTTGATGCACTACATGCTTGGGATCTATAGCACACATTTTTCTTTCTGTTCTGTTTTTGGCCTCAAGGTATGATAGGAGTTTTAGCAATTTTAGGAGTGATAGCAGCAACAGGAAGCTGTGGATGGAGGAGAGGAAAGGTTACCCTTTCTTCTTGTCCCAGGAGAAGAGATGATGATGATGATGATGATAATAATAATTTTTTTACCCTGCCACCATCTCCCCGAGGGGACTTGGGGTGGCTTACTAGTGGGATGTGTGTTTGGCATTTCCAAAAAGTGTAAGGGGGCCATTAAAAGGAAGTCAAGGGAAGTGAGTAGTGCGGGGCACTGCAGGAGGTGGGTGAGTCCAGCTTTCTGTAGGATCTGTCAAACTTTCAGGTGCCTGCTCAAGGGTGCTGCTCCCCACGGTCCTCCATGCATCGCCAGGAGACTTGGCTGGCCACTGGAAAGGGCTGGTTGCATCCAAGGTGGGTGACCAGACCTCCGGATCCTCCATCAACAGCCTTTCCTCTCCTTCCCCTTCCTTCCACCAGGTGCGAGTTGTGTTTGTCACTAAAATACTGCCTTCTTTTTCGTCATTCTGTGGCTGATTTTGGTCCTTGGCAGGGACAGTGTGGGCACGTTGGTGCCGGTTGCGGTGGGAGCTACGCCCAAAGCGTTTCCCACAGTAGGCACAAGGGAAGGGCTTCTCTCCTGTGTGCGAGAGTTGGTGCCGGTTGAAGTGTGAACTCCAGGCAAAGCCCTTGCCACAAACGTCACACTGATAGGGCTTCTCACCACGATGCATTTGGTGATGACGCTCCAGCACGGCAATGGTACTAAATCCTTTCCCACATTTGGGACACTGATAAGGCTTGGCCTTGGTGTCATGGAGACCTTGGTGTGCGGCCAGCCCAGAGATTAAAGGGAAGCTTTTGCTACACCCTCCACAACCATGGGTTCGGGCTTCATTGTGGATCTGCTGTGGACCCTGGATGCAATCTGTACGTGTGTAAGGTTTCTCTCCAGTGTAGATTCGCTTATCTCTCTCCAGTTGAGAACTGTGCTCCAACCTTTTGTCACAGTCAGAGCTCTGGTGGGGTTTCCCTCTGGAATGGGTGAACTGGAGCTTGGCCAAGGAAGTGGGATTGCCAAAAACCCGGGCACATTCTGAGCAAGAGTAAGTCCTGCCTTTATTGTGATCACTGCGCTGGTGCTTGAGGAGAGCAGAGGACCAGCTAAAGTGGAGACCACACTCTATGCACTGATATGGCTTCTCCCCAGTGTTAATGCACCGGTGCTCAATTAAGCTTGAATGCTGTCCAAAGCTTTCCCCACACATTGTGCACTGGTGAGGGGGCTGCCCCATTTCTGTCTCTTCGACCACATCTTCATGCTCCAGAGGGGTCTGGGTGCTCTTGTGTTTAAAACGGTCGGGATGGGTAATGTGGTTGACTCGCTTGCCACAGTCGGCACACTTTGAGGGGGGCGCCTCCTCTGGCAATGCTGATGTAGAGTGAATCCGCATGTGCCGATCTAGATGTGAGCTCCATGCAAAGGCCCGTCCGCACTCATGGCACTTGTATGGTTTCTCCCCCGTGTGGATCCGCCGGTGCCGCTCAAGGTGGGAGCTCCATGCAAAGCATTTCCCACAATCCACACACTTGTGGGGGTTCTCTCCAGCATGGCTCTTGCGATGTTGCTCCAGGGCTGCCAAGTCACTGAAGCACTTCCCACACTCAGAGCAGCGGTTGGGCTTTTCGCTTCCCGGCGCATGAATCCGCTGATGGGTCAGCAGGGTGGAGCGGACGCTGAAACGCTTCCCGCAGTTTGGACACTGATATGGCCGCTCCCCTGTGTGAGTTCTTTGGTGAATAATCAAGTCTGAGCACTGAATGAAGCTCTTCCCACATTCTTCACACTCGTAGGGTTTCTCTCCTGTGTGGATCTTCTGGTGTTTCACCAAAGCTGACTTATGACTGAAGGTTTTGCCACATTTGCAGCAAATGTTGGGGTTTGGAGTGGACAATGGAGGAGAAAGTGGGAGGATCTCAGCTTGGGCCTTGCTGTTTGTGGCTTCACTTGTGGGACACTGGGAGGCTTCGGCAGTAGACTCTGTCTCTTTGGAAACTTCTTGCACAGAATTCTCTTCTTTCATATTCTCATTTACTAATGCTGTAACTAAGACAGGTAGAAGAATTAGCCAGAGTTATGCAGAGTATGTGTGGATAAGTTTGTGAGATTATTTTGTTCATCCTTAAGCAATTTTCTACTTCAAAGTTAAGAGAAAGCTTGCTTCAATGTATTGCTGAAGGCTTTCATGGCTACAATCACTGGGTTGCTGTGTGTTTTCTGGGATGTATGGTCATCTTCCAGAAGCATTCTCTCCTGATGTTTTGCCTGCATCTATGGCAGGAATCCTCAGAGGTTGTGAGGTCTGTTGGAAACTAGGCAAGTGAGGATTATATATCTGGAATAATGTACAGGGTGGGAGAAAGAACTCTTGTCTGTTTGAGGCAGGTGTGAATGTTGTAATTGATGGCCTTGATTAGCACTGAATAGCCTTGCAGCTTCAAAGCCTGGCTGTTTCCTGCCCAGGGAACCCTTTGTTGGTAGGCATTAGCTGGCTCTGATTGTTTCTTGTCTGAAATTCCCCTGTTTTCTGAGTGTTGTTCTTTATTTGTTGTCCTGACCATCTAACAATCACCATGTCAGATTACACAGAGAAGCTATTGCAGCTTCTAGGAGCCTGACCTCGAAGCTGCAAGGCCATTAAATGCTAATCAAGGTGGCTAATTGCAACATTCACACCTACCTCAAATAGACAAGAGTTATTTCACCCACCTGGGACATTCCACAGATATATAAACCCCACTTGCCTAGTTTCCAACAGACCTCACAACCTCTGAGGTTGATGCAGGTGAAATGTCAGGAGAGAATGCTTCTGGAATATGGCCATACAGCCTGGAAATCTCACAGCAACCCAAGGCTTGCTTCATTTTGAACTATGGCTCCAAAAGTCAGCTTGCCTATAAATAATATTATCGAAACATGGAGGTGGAGCAGACCATAAGGGCCATCCAGTCCAACCTCGTACCATAGTTTTGTCTGTGAAATTGTGAAAACTGTAATCCAATTATATCTTTGACAAAGAAGAGTGAAATGTAAGTTTTAACTCAAGGCTGGTCAGAATTCAGAATTGGAGAAGTTAACTCTTGTGGGTTTTCTAAAACTAACAACTCAAGATTTACCAAATGATGTTAGCCACAAAGCAATACTGTGATGGAATAAGATAAAAAGTGGTGGCTCTTGTGTCACAACTGTAACTCATACATGGATGTTATCTGCAGATGGAAATACAAACTTGTACCTAAGCCTCTCACCAAGCGCTCATGGGTACATCTACATTGCAGAATCAATGCAGGTCATCACTGCTTTAACTGCCATGACTCAATGCAATGGAATCACGGGACTTGTGGTGTTACATGACTTACCTGGAGGGAGATTTCCTAGGGCTTGCAGGTCAAACGCTGTTGTTTCATTTCCTCTTTCCAACTGGGATAGTAAGTCAATCTTGGGTAGTGGAAATTCTTCTCAGTGGAAAAAAAAATACATATATGAGGAAACAGAATATAAGAACCACTTAGTTCAAGTATGTAAGCTAAAACAAACAAAAGTAAGTGTCCAGATTTCAAGAGAGGCAACAGCCTATAGGCAAGTAGACTTTAGATCTGAAAGGTTTGGAAAATTCCTTCACAAAGATCTGTTAAGTGAATGCCCCATTGTTTACCAATAGAAAGAAAGGACGACCAGCCTCCAAAGCAGTTTGTGGGCTGTAAAGTCCACTCTGGGTGCTCAAAACTAAGGCTAGTTCTACACTGCCAAAATAATGCAGGTTGAACTGCATTATATGGTCAGTATAGAACATGCATGGGCAAACTTAGGCCCTCCGGGCGTTTTGGACTTCAACTCCCACAATTCCTAACAGCCTACCGGCTGTTAGGAATTGTGGGAGTTGAAGTCCAAAACACCTGGAGGGCCCAAGTTTACCCATGCCTGGTATAGAATCATATATAGAATCATAGAGTTCGAAGAGACCTCGTGGGCCATCCAGTCCAACCCCCTGCCAAGAAGCAGGAAAATGGCATTCACAGCACCCCCAACAGATGGTCATCCAGCCTCTGTTTAAAAGCCTCCAAAGGAGGAGCTTCCACCACACTCCAAGGCAGAGAGTTCCACTGCTGAACAGCTTCCACAGTCAGGAAGTTCATCCTAATGTTCAGATGGAATCTCTTTTCCTGTAGTTTGAAGCCATTATTCTGCATCCTAGTCTCTAGGGCAGCAGAAAACAAGCCTGCTCCTTCTCCCTATGACTTCTCCTCACATATTGATTCATGGCCCTCATCATATCTCCTCTCAGCCTTCTCTTCTGCAAGCTAAGCATGCCCAGCTCTTTAAGCCGCTCTTCATAGGGCTTGTTCTCCAGACCCTTGATAATTTTTGTTGCCCTCCTCTGGACACATTTCAGCTTGTCAACATCTCACTTCAATTGTGGAGCCCAGAATTGGACACAGTGCGATTCCAGTTGTGGTCTGACCAAGGCAGAATAGAGGGATAGCAGGACTTCCCTGGATCTAGACATTATGGAGGCCAAAATCCCATTGGCTGTTATAGCTGCTGCATCAAATTATTGGCTCATGTTTAAATTGTTGTCCACGAGGATTCCAAGATCTTTTTCACACATACTGCTCTCGAGTGATGCATCCCCCATTCTGTATCTTTGCATTTCATTTTTTCTGCCTAAGTGGAGTATCTTGCATTTGTCCCTGTTGAACTTCATTATGTTAGTTTGACCCATCTCTCTAATCTGCTAAGATAGTTTTGAATTCTGCTCCTGTCTTCTGGAGTATTGGCTATCCGCCCCCGCCGCCCCAAATTTGGTGTCATCTGCAAACTTGATGATCATGCCTTCTAACCCTTCATCTAAGTCATTTATAAAGATGTTGAACAGGACCGGGCCCAGGACAGAACCATGCTTATGGCACTCCGCTCGTCACTTCTTTCCAGAATGAGGAAAGAGCACCTTCTGGGTTCATTCGCTTAACCAATTATGCAGCTTGAACTACACTGAACTGCATTATATGGTTTTACACTGACTATATAATGCAATTCAAATTGCTTTATTTGGAAGTATCGAACCAGCCAAATTTGGGTAAAATAGAGACACAAAGTTAATTCTGAGCATAAGTAAACGGTCCCGATTCAAATTACCTGTCCGAAAGCATATCTCCCTATGAACCATCGCGGAAATTAAGATCCTCCGGGGAGGCCTTGCTTTCTGTCCCACCATTGTCAAAAGCATGATTGGTGGGGACGAGAGACAGGGCCTTCTTGGTGATTGCTCCCCGGCTATGGAACTCCCTTCCTGGTGAGATCAGGTCAGCCCTCTCCCTCCTGTCCTTCAGAAGGATGGTAAAAACTTGGCTGTGGGACCAAGCTTTTGGGACAGGGCAATAAAGCGGCAATAGGAAAGATGACCAGGCCAATTAGGTTTGATGCAGATGACTAGGACGGTTCTAAATGGTGTATTTTAATATTTTGATTTTTTTTTAATGTTTATGTATTGTATGTGAATTTGTGTCACGGCATTGAATGTTTGCCATGTATATGCTGTGCTCCGCCCTGAGTCCCCTTCGGGGTGAGAAGGGCGGAATATAAATGTTTTAAATAAATAAATAAGTATACCCCCAATCCTATATATACTCTCTGTTTTGAGCATATGTATAACCCCAATCCCATGGCTGTTTAGGACATAGTGGATCAGAGACCATTGCTTTTCACATCCCTGGAAGCCCCCTTTAAATGATATAGCGACACACCTACTTTTAATGACACCCTTCTAAATCATAAATCTCACAACTGACAATAATTCAATATTAAGGGACTAGGTAATTCAATTAAAAAAAACCCAAGTAAAGGTAAAGGTTTCTCTTTGACTTTAAGTCTAGTTGTGTCCAACTCTGCGGGTGGTGTTCATATCCATTTCTAAGCTGAAGAACTGGCGTTGTCCACAGACATCTCCAAGGTCATGTGGCCACCATGTCTGCATGGAGCGCTGTTACCTTCCTGCAGAAGCGGTACCTATTGATCTACTCACATTTGCGTGTCTTCAAAGTCTAGGTTGGCAGAAGCTGGGGCTAACAGCAGGAGCTCACCCCACTCCCCGGATTCGAACCGCCAACCTTTTGGTCAGCAAGTTCAGCAGCTCAGTGAAACAAGCAAACCAAAAATAGCTACACAAGAATACTAGAATAAACAAACAAGTTTTAAGTATTTTTTAAAAAACTACACATTAGCATGTAACCTACTACAACTAAGTAACTACTAAGAATAACAGCATGTGAATGCAAGAATAAAACACACAAATAAGCACAGATGCACAAAACAAATAGTCAAAAAATCCGTAATCTTTCTAAACTTTTCACTCCCTATCTGATGATTTAAAATCGAATTATGCTCAATTGTGAGATTTAGGACTCAGAAGTAGAAGTGTGATTATATAATACCATTTAAAGGGAATAGACTGATCTAATATGGTTTTTAAAAACTCAGTTCCAAACCCTGCTCTTATCGGGAAGCTGTTCTCTTTGATTTGTGGCAATCTTCTTTATTTGGGAGTCATGAAACTGTACTCTGAGCACATTTAGGAAGACCCATCCCAACGCTTGTTTACTTTTTTCTTGGGCTGTGAAACTGAGGGTCCCGCATCCACTATGTCCCAAACTGAATCCCATCTATTATCTCCATTTTTCCCTGTCTCCTTTAGTATTTAATTATTTATTCAGAGTGCAATGGGAAAACTCAAAATGTCCTCAAAGCAGAGCTGTTACTTACATAATGATTGGCTAATCCACCCCCCCCCCTCCACCGCCTGCCTCAAAAATACGGGATCATTATGCAAGCTCAGGATTTGATGCTAGGAATGAAATCCAACATTCTGAATATCTTAATGCAAGAGTAAGTATCTGAGGCCAGATGTTGTTGGATTACAACTCTCAGCATTTCTTATCGCAGGCTAGAGATGCAAGGGACTTGCAGGCCAACAACATCTGGATGACTTCATGATTCCCACCTCTGTCTTAATTAGGTTCTTGTGGGTTTTTTCGGGCTATAGGGCCATGTTCTAGAGGCATTTCTCCTGACGTTTTGCCTGCATCTATGGCAAGCATCCTCAGAGGTAGTGAGGTGTCTTAATTATTTCTTTTTTTCACCCCTAAGTAAGTGTCCACTTCATATGGTCAAAAGAGCCACCAAGTGAAAGATAAAGCATGACCTCAGAGGTGGCATATGAAGTCACTGGGATGCAAGACGTTGCCTTAACAATTTCTTATGTCCTGGGCAATAATTACAATATGTGTTGTTGAAGGCTTTCATGGCCAGAATCACTGGGTTGCTGTGATTTTTTTGGGGCTGTATGGCCATGCTCCAGAAGCATTCTCTTCTGACGTTTTGCCCACATCTATGGCAGGCATTCTCAGAGGTTGCGAGGTCTCTTTAGAAAATCGGCAAGTGGAAAAGTTTACATATCTGTGGAATGTCCAGGGTGGGAGAAAGAACTCTTGTCTGCTGGAGGCAGGTGTGAATGTTACAATTGGCCACCTTGGTTAGCACCAAATAGCCTTGCAGCTTCAAAGCCTGGCTGTTTCCTGCTTAGGGGAATACTTTGATAGAATCAGAAAATGAGTTGGAAGAGACCTCATGGGCCATCCAGTCCAACCCCCTGCCAAGAAGCAGGAATATTGCATTCAAATCACCCCTGACAGATGGCCATCCAGTCTCTGTTTAAAAGCCTCCAAAGAAGGAGCCTCCACCACACTCCATGGCAGAGAGTTCCACTGCTGAACGGCTCTCACAGTCAGGAAGTTCTTCCTCATGTTCAGATGGAATCTTCTTTCTTGTAGTTTGAAGCCATTGCTCCGCGTCCTAGTCTCTAGGGCAGCAGAAAACAAGCTTGCTCCCTCCTCCCTATGACTTCCTCTTACATATTTATACATGGCTATCATGTCTCCTCTCAGCCTTCTCTTCTTCAGGCTAAACATGCCCAGCTTTTTAAGCCGCTCTTCATAGGGCTTGTTCTCTAGACCCTTGATCATTTTAGTCGCCCTCCTCTGGACACATTCCAGCTTGTCAACATTTCCCTTCAATTGTGGTGGACACAATATTCCAGGTGTGGTCTAACCTGGAATAGAAGGTATTAGCTGGCCCTGATTGTTTTTTGTCTGGAATTCCTCTGTTTTCTGAATGTTTTATTTTATTTGCTGTCCTGACCACTCTAACAACCACCATGTTAGACTACACAGAAAAGTCAATGAAATCCACAAGTGTGTGGACAATTTTAGCAGAAAGGAGGGAACCATGAAAATTAACATTTGGCTACCAGTATTTAAAAGCTCTAAAATCAGGACAGTAAATAAAGAACAACTCTCAGAAAACAGGAGAATTCCAGATAGAAAACAATCAGGGCCAGTTATTTATTTATTTTTATTTCCTATATACCCGTATATACTCGAGTATAAGCCGACCTGAATATAAGCCAAAGTACCTAATTTTACCACTAAAACTGGGAAAATGTATTGACTCGAATATAAGCTGAGGGTGGGAAATGTAGCAGCTACTGGTCAATTTCAAAATAAAACTCGATACCAATAAAATTACATTAATTACAAGACAGAGGTACTCCTGGTCAGTCGCAAGGCCGAACAGGGCATAGGGTTACAGCCTGTGTTTGATGGGGCCGCACTCCCCCTGAAGATGCAGGTTCGCAGCTTGGGTGTGACCCTGGACTCATCGCTGAGCCTGGAACCCCAGGTTTCGGCGGTGACCAGGGGAGCATTTGCACAGCTAAAGCTTGTGCGCCAGCTGCGCCCGTACCTTGGGAAGTCTGACTTGGCCACGGTAGTCCACGCTCTGGTTACATCCCGTTTAGACTACTGCAACGCTCTCTACGTGGGGTTGCCTTTGAAGACAGCTCGGAAGCTCCAACTAGTCCAACGCTCGGCAGCCATGATTTTAACAGGAGCGGAGCGCAGGGAGCATACAACCCCCCTGTTGCGCCAACTCCACTGGCTACCGATCTGCTACTGGGCTGAATTCAAAGTGCTGGCGTTGGCCTTTAAAGCCCTAAACGGTTCGGGCCCAAGCTACCTATCCGACCGCATCTCTGCCTATGAACCCACCAGGACTTTGAGATCTTCCAGGGAGACCCTGCTCTCGATCCCGCCTGCTTCTCAAGCTCGGCTGGCGGGGACGAGAGATAGGGCCTTCTCGGTGGTGGCTCCTCGGCTGTGGAACGCCCTTCCTACGGACATTAGACTAGCACCATCTCTAATGGTATTCCGCAAAAAAGTGAAGACCTGGCTGTTTGAGCAGGCGTTCCAATAATTAGTGCAATGATTGGTTAACGAACACTGGAATGGAACAATGGATGACGAATCTGGAACATGTTTTTGATGACGAGACGACAGTGAATGGGTATTATAGTAACTGTTTATTAATTGTGTAATGTGTTAGGTTGTTACTGTTTCTATACTGTAGCACTGAATTTTTGCTGTTCGTATTTGTTGTGAACCGCTGTGAGTCGCCTTCGGGCTGAGAACAGCGGTATATAAGTAAGGTAAATAAATAAATAATAAATATTGTGCCTATTTCAGAAAGTTTGTTCATTCGTTCAGTCGTCTCCGACTCTTCGTGACCTCATGGACCAGCCCACGCCAGAGCTCCCTGTCGGCCGTTACCACCCCCGCTCCCTCAAGGTCAGTCCAGTCACTTCAAGGATGCCATCCATCCATCTTGCCCTTGGTCGGCCCCTCTTCCTTTTGCCTTCCACTTTCCCCAGCATAATTGTCTTCTCTAGTCTTTCCTGTCTCCTCATGATGTGGCCAAAGTACTTCAACTTTGTCTCTAGTATCTTTCCCTCCAGTGAGCAGTCGGGCTTTATTTCCTGGAGGATGGACTGGTTGGATCTTCTCGCAGTCCAAGGCACTCTCAGCAACTTTCCTCCAACACCACAGCTCAAAAGCATCTATCTTCCTTCGCTCAGCCTTCCCTAAGGTCCAGCTCTCACATCCGTAGGTTACTACAGGGAATACCATGGCTTTGACTATTCGGATCTTTGTTGCCAGTGTGAATGTCTCTACTCTTTACTATTTTATCGAGATTGGACATTGCTCTCCTCCCAAGAAGTAAGCGTCTTCTGATTTCCTGGCCACAGTCTGCATCTGCAGTAATCTTTGCACCTAGAAATACAAAGTCTGTCACGGCCTCCACATTTTCTCCCTCTATTTTCCAGTTGTCAATCATTCTTGTTGCCATAATCTTGGTTTTTTTGATGTTTAGCTGCAACCCAGCTTTTGCGCTTTCTTCTTTCACCTTGCTTAGAAGGCTCCTCAGCTCCTCCTCGCTTTCGGCCATCAGAGTGGTGTCATCTGCATATCTGAGGTTGTTAATGTTTCTTCCAGCATTTTTCACCCCAGCTTTGCATTCATCAAGCCCCGCACATCGCATGATGTGTTCTGCATACAAGTTAAAAAGGTTGGGTGAGAGGATGCAGCCTTGCCGTACGCCTTTCCCAATCTTGAACCAGTCTGTTGTTCCGTGGTCAGTTCTGACTGTTGCTACTTGGTCCTTGTACAGATTCCTCAGGAGAGGACAAGGTGGCTTGGATGCCCATCCCACCAAGAACTTGCCACAATTTATTATGATCCACACAGTCAAAGGCTTTAGAATAGTCAATGAAGCAGAAGTAGATGTTTTTCTGAAACTCCCTGCCTTTCTCCATTATCCAGCAGATATTGGCAATCTGGTCTAGGTTAAATGTTTTTGAATATTTACATAAAACTGTAATCTAAGACTGTCCAGCTCTGATGAAACCATTATTCTAGCCTCCTTCAATATAAATGTGCTTACGTATCCTTCCAATAATAATAAAGAGAGCAAAATAATAATTTTAATAACAATAATAAATAGAGTTTGCTCCAGGCACTGCTAGGCCATTATAATCAAGGTGGTCAGTTGAAATATTCACACCTAGCTCCAGCAGACAAGGGTCCTTTGTCCCACCCAGGTCAATCCACAGATATATAAACCCTTTTTCCTAATTCCAACAGACCTCACTACCTCTGAAGATGCTTGCCATAGATGCAGGCGAAACGTCAGGAGAGAATGCCTCTAGACCATGGCCATATAGCCCGAAAAAACCTACAACAACCCAGTGATTCCAGCCATGAAAGCCTTCGACAATACCATAATAAATAGAGTAAAATAATAAATGTAATAAAAATAATAGAGTAAAATAATGTAAATGTAATAATATCAATAATAGAGTAAATAATAAATGTAATAAAATAATAACAGAATAATAACATAAATATAATAAAAATAATACGCATAACAGAGTAAAATAATAAATAATCTTGGCTCAAGTATAAGCCGAGGGGAGCTTTTTCAGCCTAAAAAAGGGGCTGAAAAACTAGGCTTATACTCGAGTATATATATAATTTCTCAACAAAGGATTTTCCCCAGGCAACAACCAGTCAGGCTTTGAAGCTGCAAGGCCATTCAATGCTAATCAAGGTGGCCACTGCAACATTCAATTGCCAATTGCAACTTGCCTCAAGCAGACAAAAGTTCTTTCTCCCACCCTGGACATTTCACAGATATACAAACCCCACTTGCCTAGTTTCCAACAGACCTCACAACCTCTGAGGATGCCTGCCATAGATGTGGGAAAAATGTCAGGAGAGAATGCTTCTGGAACATGGCCATACAGTCCGGAAAACTGACAGCAACCCAAAGGATTTATTATCTATTATTATTGTTGTTGTTGTTGTTGCATTCAGCCATAGCAGTTAAAGTAGTGTTGAACTGCATTAATTCTACAATGTTGATGTATCCAAAGACAGCATAAAGAGAGGAGTCCCTCCCTTGGAAAGAAACAACATCAAGCTAGACATTCCCTCTCTTCATATACTTAAAGGTTTCAATTAATCGTGCAGAGATTAACCCAAGCTGGATTCTCCTGACTTTAGTTGCAGAAAAGGGCCCTACCGAGTGCCATCAGCATCTCATAACTTTCTTGCATGACATCCCGATACAAGGCTCTCTGTCGTGGGTCCAGAAGCACATATTGTTCCATTTTAACTGGAAGCCAGTGGTTTGTAGACCACAATCTCCGGAACAGCAAACAACAGCCCTGTCAGATAAAGAAGAAGACTGGATAGGATCCTAGAAGTAAATCAATAAAATATATTCCCAACTGTATGGAAAGCAACAATAAGGAACAGAAAGCAACAGTAAGGAGCTCCCTGTGCGCAATGGGTTAAACCCTTGTGCCAGCAGGACTGGAGGCTGACAGGCCAGAGTTTCGAATCTGGGGAGAGCGCGGATGAGCTCCCTCTGTCAGCTCCAGCTCCCCATGCTGGGACATGAGAGAAGCCTCCCGCAAGGATGGTAAAACATCAAACATCCGGGCATCCCCTGGACAATGTCCTTGCAGACGGCCAATTCTCTCACACCAGAAGCGACTTGCCGTTTCTCAAGTCGCTACTGACACACACACACACACAAAAGGAAGTACGGAAAGCAGTGCAATGGTCTGAATGTTGATCTAAGATTCCCTCTGGCTGTTAGGAATTGAAGTCCAAAACACTTAGAGGGCCAAAGTTTGCTCATGCCTGGTGTAGATGCACCCTGAGTAACCCATGCACTGTAGAATCAATACAGTTTTACACCACTTGAACTGCCATGGCTCAATGCTATGGGAGCCTAGGATTTGTAGTTTGGTGAGACACCCACATCCTTGGACAGAGAAGGCGAAATACCTTGCAAAACTACAACTCCCATGAATTTGTTGGAATGAGTCATAGCAGCTAAAGTGGTGTATAACTGCATTTGTGTAAATACAGCTTTGGTTAGGTACTGGTGCTCTCTGGCACTTGTAAAACTACAACTCCCAGGATTCCATTATACTGAGCCACAGCTCTTAAATGCCACTTTTACAAGGTCCTTCGCCTTCTCTTCTTAAGAGCCTATATGCCTCACCAAACTAGTGTGGAATTGTGGGATTTGTAGTTTGGTACAGTGCACTCTTTGGCAAAGAATGATAAAGATCTTGCAAAACTACAACTCCCAGGATTCCATTATACTGAGTCACAGCCCATAAATACCACTTTTACAAGGTCCTTCACCTTCTATTCTTAAGAGCCTATATGCCTCACCATACTAGTGTGGAATTATGGGATTTGTAATTTGGCACAGTGCCATTAACTCTTTGGCAAAGAATGATAAAGACCTTGCAAAACTACAAATCCCAGGATTCCATAGCATTGAGGCATGGCAGATAAAGCAGTATCAAACTGCAGTAATTCTGTCCTGTAAATGCACTCCCATTCCCCTCTTCAATGCCATCCCTGCTGGAATCAATGGGAACAAATGCCTCTTTTGTGGTTTGCAAAACCTGCATTAAAATGGAAAGCCAAGTAGTAAAAATGGAGGCTTTCCAACCATTCTCTCCCTCCTCCCTTCCTTGCTTGAGCTGAATCCGTTTTACCTGGACTCTGTGGCTGCTGCAGGGTTAAAAGGCTGAGCAGAAAACACACACACTTACACAAACACACATTTACACAAACACACACATAAGGTCTCTTCCTCGGGAGTTTTCAATGGGAGAATTCAGCAGCAAGGATCCATGAAGCTCAGTCTCCCTGATAGACATAGAATGGAAGCGGATTGGGGAGCAAACAGCGCCCCCTGGCGGTGGTCGAGGGCGGCTCCATCTTACTTCACTAACTCAAGCCTGAGAAAGTCAACATTGAATAGCAGCCCTTATAGCAGTGGCTATAACATAAGCTGAAGAGGTCAAGAGAAGGTGGTGAGACTATACAGAAGATCTGTATAGGAAGGATAAAAATATCGAGGATAGTTGGGTTGTTGTAGGTTTTTTCGGGCTATATGGCCATGTTCTAGAGGCATTCTCTCCTGATGTTTCGCCTGCATCTATGGCAAGCATCCTCAGAGGTAGTGAGGTCTGTTGCAACTACGAAAAGGGGTTTATATATCTGTGGAATGACCAGGGTGGGACAAAGGACTCTTCTCTGCTGGAGCTAAGTGTGAATAGGTTCTTGTGGGTTTTTTCAGGCTATAGAGCCATGTTCTAGAGGCATTTCTCCTGACGTTTCGCCTGCATCTATGGCAAGCATCCTCAGAGATAGTGTGAATGTTTCAACTGACCACCTTGATTAGCATATAATGGCCTGACAGTGCCTAGAGCAATCTTTTGTTGAGAGGTGATTACATGTGCCTGGTTGTTTCCCCTCTGTTGTTTTGCTGTTTTGGTTTTAGTTTTTTAAATACTGGTAGCCAGATTTTGTTCATTTTCATGGTTTCCTCCTTTCTGTTGAAATTGTCCACATGCTTGTGTATTTCAATGGCTTCTCTGTGGAGTCTGACATGGTGGTTGTTGGAGTGGTCCAGCATTTCTGTGTTCTCAAATAATATGCTGTATCCAGGCTGATTCATCAGGTGCTCTGCTATGGCTGCCTTCTCTGGTTGAAGTAGTCTGCAGTGCCTTTCATGTTCCTTGATTTGTGTCTGGGCAATGCTGCGTTTGGTGGTCCCTATGTAGACTTGTCCACAGCTGCATGCTATACCATAGACTCCTGCAGAAGTGAGAAGGTCCCTCTTGTCCTTTGCTGAACATAGCATTTGTTGGATTTTCTTGGTGGGTCTGTAGATAGTTTGTATGTTGTGTTTCCTCATCAGCTTCCCTATGCGGTCAGTCGTTCCCTTGATGGAAGGCAAGAACACTTTTCCTCTGGTGGATCTTTGTCTTTTCTCTCGTGGCTTGTTCCTAGTCTTGTAGCTCTTCTGATGTCTGAGATGGAGTATCCATTGGCCTGGAGAGCCCAGTTTAGGTGGTTCAGTCCATCTTGGAGGAGGTGGGGTTTGCAGATTCACAGATCAAATGCTAATCAAGGTGGTCAATTGAAACATTCACACCTAGCTCCCGCAGACAAGAGTCCTTTGTCCCACCTTGGTCATTCCACAAATATATAAACCCATTTTCCTAGTTCCATCAGACCTCACTACCTCTGAGGATGCTTGCCACAGATGCAGGCGAAAACGTCAGGAGAGCATGCCTCTAGAACATGGCCATATAGCCCAAAAAAACCTACAACAACCCAGTGATTCCGGCCATGAAAGCCTTCGACAATACAATATCGAGGATAGTTTTGAAGGTGTGGTGAGTGAATTAGAACCAGACATCCTGAGGAGTGAGGTTGAATGGGCCTTAAGAAGCATTGGTAACAATGAGGCAGCAGGAGATGGCAGGATCCCTGCTGAACTGTTCAAAATCTTGAAAGATGATGCCGTCAAGGGGATGAATGCCATATACCAGCAAATATGGAAAACACAAAAATGGTCGTCTGACTGGAAAAAAAACAACTTATATCCCTATACCAAAAAAGGGAAATGCTAAAGACTGCTCAAACTTTTGTACAGAGGCCCTTATTTCTCATGCCAGTAAGGTAGTGCTCAAGATCCTGCAAGGAAGACTCCAGCAATACATGGAGAGCTGCCAGATGTACAAGCGGGGTTTAGAAAAGGCAGAGGAACGAGAGACCAAATTGCCAATGTCCACTGGATAATGGAGAAAGGCAGGGAGTTTCAGAAAAACATCTATTTCTGTTTTATTGACTATTCTAAAGTCTTTGACTGTGTGGATCATAATAAATTGTGGCAAGTTCTTGCTGGTATGGGCATACCAAATCACCTTGTCTCTCTCCTGAGGAATCTGTATAAGGACCAAGTAGCAACAGTAAGAGCCGCCGCAAACTAGCGTCTTGGGAGAGCAAACTGTGCCAGCACGACTGATGACGTCGAAGACTCCGCCTCTTTCTCCGCCTATTTCTCCGCGCCTTTTGCCTTTTGGTTTGCCTTTTGGTTTTCCTTTTGCTAGGGCAGCGATGCAAGCGTACTCTCGCTGTTGAATTCTCCGGCCCATCCTATGTTTGTATATCAGCCAGCATGCCAATGCCTTAAATCAAGAAATGGTTTTTTAAGATCTACAGAGATACTCGCCGGAACACCTCAGCAAGCAAGAGTCCAAAAGTGGCAGACTAAAAATCTGGAACCTCAAGCCATGGCTGATACTGAATGAGAGACTCCCCCCGGGCACACAGAAGACTGGGTGACTTGGAAGGCGCTGAACAGACTGCGCTCTGGCACCACGAAATGCAGAGCCAACCTTAAGAAAAGAAGTCGCAAAGTGGACTCCGCGACATGTGAGTGTGGAGAAGAGTAAACCACAGACCACCTATGACAATACAGTCTGAGCCCTGCCACATGTACAATGGAGGACTTTCTTATAGCAACACCAGAGGCACTCCAAGTGGTCAGCTACTGGTCAAAGGACATTTGGTATAATGCCAAGTTTTTAAACATTGTGTTTTTTAAAAGACATTACAACTGTACCCTTGGTCCGCTCCTGATATGATATAGAAATAACACAAGAAAGTGTATTGGTTATTCTTTATTTGCTGAATAACTGAAGACCAGCTGAATTATGACCAAGGAAACTATTTACATGCTAACAGCATGTATGATTGTCAGTTAACAATGGAAAACTTTGTGTTATTGTACAAAGAAGTGGTCTGAGTGAATTTGAAAACAATTTACAATAAAACACTGACCAAAAATACTCTTAAAGCCACATAACTGTCCCAATACAAAGAGCAACCCTTTTGATTAAAACTTCATGACATTAGTTATTTCTCTGATTCAGGATCCCTAAGGACTATTGTCTCGTGACCAGAATCTAGATTTAACTAGCAGTAAGTTACAATAAGATCTTTTTTTAAAAAAAATACAAATCTCAGGATTGTGGAGAACGAGAAGGCCACCGGTCTAATAGGTACATACATAGATATATACATAAAAATATATATAGAAAAATAACATTTTGAATTTATCTACTTTCAAAGAGGCCTGGCTCAGTATATAAATGAAGGAGTCCCGAAAGAACATGTAAATAAGCAACTTTCTTTGTTCTCAGGAAACATTTTCAAATCTTTTTGCAAAACAGACACAACATTCTTTTTTCAAATTGATCCTACGAACACTGAAGGCTGTTCCACTGGAAGGGTGCATGTCCATTAATCTCTGGAGTGGACTCTTCCATGTCTTATAAGACTTGAACGTGCTCTGAAGCTTCTGCCACAAGCGGAGCATGGATAGAGCTGCTCATTCATGTAGGTTTGGGAATGATAATTTTTTTTCCCCGGCCGACTAAATCTCCTCCAGCAGGCTGGATGGATCTCTCCGGTGTGGATCCTTTCCTTGGATTTCTCTCTAAAGTGGATCCTCTGGTGAAGGGAAAGGCTCAATTTGACTCTGAATCTCTTGCCGCATTCGTGACACTGGTGGGATTTCTCTCTCGTGTGGATTTTCCAGTGAGCCTTAAGATTTGACCGAGTTCGGAAGTGTTTGCCACATTCAGAGCAGCCGTGGGGCTTGTAATCGGTGTGAATCATTTGGTGATTCATGAGGACCGATTTGTAAGGAAAGCTTTTGCCGCAGTCCTTACACAGATGGCTTTTCTCTCCTTTGGTAGGACGACCACGCCGAAGAGAGCGGGAGCGACTTGTATTCAATTCAGTAAAGACATTTGGTGGATCCATAATGCTGTCATTGAGACTCAGGCATTTTTCTTGATGCCACTGCCCACTTGTTTCCACAGGGAATGCAGCAGTGGGATACTCCTCTTGTTCTGTTGTGGGGTAGATTTGGGGATGGTGCTCTTTCTCTAAACTACTTCGGGGCCAACTGGATGTTTCTTCTTCTTTTATCCAGTGCTGTTTTTCCTTTAGTCTCTGTTCCTGTGGCCAACAGGGCCAATCGTTGTAGTTTTCCTCTTTCTTAATGTTCTCTTCTTTTATCGTAACTTCTTCCCAAACGTCTTCTTCTTCCTTTATGCCTGGAAAGTGTGCATATTCTCTTGTTTATGTATGGCAAATAGCTTCCCAATACCTTTAACTTACATAGCCACTAATAATAATAATAATAATAATAATAATAATAATAATAATATTTTTTTTAAAAAAAACAAAGTATGGATTGTCGATGTTGCAATCCCAGGTGACAGCAGGATTGAAGAGAAACAACTGGAAAAGCTGACACGATATGAGGATTTAAAGATCGAACTGCTAAGACTGTGGCACAAGCCAGTCAAGGTGGTCCCAGTGGTGATCGGCAAACTGGGTGCAGTGCCTAAAGACCTTGGCCTGCACTTAAACACAATCAGCGCTGACAAAATTACCATCTGCCAGCTGCAAAAGGCCACCTTACTGGGATCTGCACGCATTATTTGCTGACACATCACACAGTCCTAGACATTTGGGAAGTGTCCGACGTGTGATCCAATGCAACAACCAGCAGAGTGATCTTGTCTGCTGTGGACTCATCTTATTCTGTTTCTAATTAATAATAATAATAATAATAATAATAATAATAATAATAATAATATAAAGACTCTGGCACAAGCCAGTAAAGGTGGTCCCAGTGGTGATTGGCACACTGGGTGCAGTGCCTAAAGACCTTGGCCTGCACTTAAACACAATCGGCACTGACAAAATTACCATCTGCCAGCTGCAGAAGGCCACTTTACTGGGATTAGAAGTATTTGACGTGTGATCCAATACAACAGCCAGCAAAGTGATCTTGTCTGCTGTGGACTCATCTTGTTGTGTTTCAAATAATAATAATAATAATGATAATACTTTACTTTTAACCCACCCTCTTTCCTCGAAGGGACTCAGGGCGGCTTTCATGAATGAAAATGGCAAACATTCAATGCTGTGTGCAATAATAAACAATAAAAAACATTTGCACATATTTATTTATTTATTTGCGGTATTTCTAGCCTGCCTTTCTCAGCCCTAAGGTGACTCAAGGCAGGTTACAGATTGGCAGCATTTAATGCCACGCATTCATAAAAAATACATTTTTAAAAATTCAGCATAACGTTATAAAAACCATATAAAACCCATTAAAAACATATAATCACCACATACTATTAAAACAGATTAAACTGTGGCTAAAATGATATAAATCAGCAGCCAAGCATCATAGCTAGTACAATTAAGCAGTTAAAATCTGTATAAAAATATAGCTCTTTCATAAATTAAATGATCATTGTCAACTTGGTCCACCAAGAAGGGAATTGGTGTTACACTGTTTTACAAATTTTCAGTTTTTCTCAGTTGCGGAAACGAAATGTGCCGTTTCTTAATAAATTTAACATGCTGAATTCAAATATAATAATTAAATGTGTTAATTGGCTCTGGTTTTTATGCAACAGGTATTTCAATTTTCTCCACAATAGGTAATTCGTTAATATTATGATAATGCGCCTAACCTTACTGCATGTATATAAACCGTGAATATTTACTAAATTTTAGTCAAATTATATTGCCAATAGTTTATACATGAGAAATATTTATTTAATTAGTCTATTGTTTATGTTTGTGCAGCAAGAAACTATATTAGTAGGCCTAATGCAGTTGAAAAGTCTGAAAGTTTAAATGTCGCTTTAATCATGACTTTAGTTTATATCCTGTTTGTTTCTCTTGACTTTTCTTTTGTATTCAAGGAAAGGATTGTCTCTTACAATGCTGCAGCAGTTGTCTGACAGCATTGACGGAGTCCATTTGCCTTGATATCTTTTTTCCATTGTGCTTTATTTACACACGTGCGAGGCATAACTACAGTAAAAAGAACAATGTAAAACGATGTTTAACGATACTGTCTCAGTCTTCAACTGACTGACCCTCACCGTTCAAAAGTCTGGCCTTATATAGGGCTTTTGGCTTTTGCACATGGCATTTATACTGCGTCATCAAACTTTCTAGAGTATTCTAGAATCTTCCATAGTGTAAGTTGCAACATGCATTTTTTCAACCATATGTGATCACGTGATTGCTTATATAATAAAAACTAGAGCCAATATACATTTTTAAATGTCATTTTCGTTTTCAGCACCCCAAAATCATAAAAGAACAACTATTTTCAGGCCCGCAACTTTTTCTCCGTTGAACAGTGTTATTATTCATCCTCCTCTCCATAAGCTAACAAGCAGAAACAGGTTTTTAATTCTTTCTTGAAGGAGAGGAATGAAGAGGCTGTTCTGATTACCGCAATAGCTTTTTTTAGACTGCCGCTGAGTATCATTTGAAATCAAACTATTTATCTATTTCAGGGGTGTGAAACCCATTTTCATTGAAGGTCACATCAGCCTTCAAAAGGCCACTGAATCCATGGAGTGAGAATCCGTGGATACAGAGGGCCAACTATATATATATTTTTAACATAGTACTCAGTGCTCTTTGGTATTAGAATGCTTCAAAGAAGGTCAACTTAATTTGAAATGTGCTCTTTTCTCCCCACCACCCAGCTATACATTCAGGTAATGGCAAAATCCATTAATGGAGGAAAGAAGGAATGCTTACAATTGGATGTCTCATTCTTCTCCTCCACTACTTCCCAGTAAGTAATATTTTGTTTGGGAGGCGTCAAAACACTCTTGTGTTTGGGAGCGTCTCTACACGGGCGAGCAGTTTTCATCATACTCTGAAAAAAAAGCAAATCATTTCAAAATACAGATTGAACATCTCCTATGTGGAAATTCGAAATGTTTTAAAATAATCCAGCTGTTTATTGTTTTTTATGAATATGTAAATTGAAAATAAAAACATATAACAACAACAGCAACAACAAAACATCTTATCCAACAATAATACTAATAATCTACCTAAGGTAAAGGTTTCCCTTGACATTAAGTCTAGTTGTGTTCAACTCTGGAGGGAGATGCTCATTTCTATTTCTAAGCCATTGTCCCTAGACGCCTCCAAGGTCATGTGGCCAGCATGACTACATGGAGCACCGTTACCTTCCCGCAGAAGCAGTACCTATTGATTTGCATGTTTTTGCACATTTGCATGTTTTTGAACTGCTAGGTTGGCAGAAGCTGGGCCTAACTGAGGGAGCTCATCCTGCTACCCAGATTTGAACCACTGCCCTTTCAGTCAGCAAGTTCAGCAGCACAGCGGTGTAACCCGCTGCACCTCCAGGGGCCCCGTAATAATCCACCTAAGTGGCTGCAATAGTGACATCTTTGCTTCCTGATATTTCAACTCAGACAAATTTGTTTCATGCTCGAAATGATTAAAGTATTGTATATAAAATTACCTTAAGGCTATATGTATAAGGTGTACACTAAACATATATGTTTTTTGACTTCGGATCCATAATAATAATATATTTTATTATTTCCAAGATAATATCCATTTCCAAGATATCCCATTATGTATATGCAAATAGAACAAAATCCAAATATCTATGTATCTACATATATATATATATATCTATATAGATATTTCCTGGTAACTTCTGTTCCCAAACATTTCCAATAAGGGATACTCAATCTGTATTTCACAATACACACTAATCGGAGACCATTTGTTTACTCTGTTATAATAGTGCTTTAATGAATGGAAAATGGGTTCCATATTCCCAAAATGTTTCCTTCTTACCTTGTTTTCAATCTAACAAATCCCTATAATTGTTTTCAATCTAACAAATCCCTATAATTGACAGCCAGACTATAGAAACATTAATTTTTCCAAATTTCCAGTCATCTCGGCAAGTAGGCATAGTGGCTAGAAATGTGCTCATGGCATTTAGAAAAACATCTGATTCTACACTGTAGAATAGACACCATATTAACTGCAATAACACAGTGCTATGGAATGCTGGGATTTTACAAGGTCTTCTCTGCCAAAGAGGGCTGGTGTCTCCCCAGACTACAGATTCCCCTGCAAATACTCTGAGAAGCACTTTAATTACCCGTTGGGTTGCTCTTTACTTTTGATTTAAAACCCTCCAAATAGATACCTCCTCTGCTCATGTCCAGCATTTATTTTTAAAGTTTTGACTATTACATTTGGCCCAGGCATAGGTTTTTAAATTCTTGTGTTTATTGTCTACTTGTGAGTTATATTAATTGTATTGTTTATTTTGTTTATTGCTTGTTATTTTATTACTGCTTGTTTTTGATGTGTTGTTGGGCTTGGCTTCATGTAAGCCGCTCCGAGTCCCTTGGGGAGATGGTGGCAGGGTATAAATAAAGTTGTTGTTGTTATTATTATTGTTATTATAGCATTGAGCCATGGCAGTTAAAACTGCACTAATTCTACAATGTAGATGCACCCTAAGACCATGGTTTCCATCACCCCTTATGGATTTATACCGGCAGGGATTCCTGGAAGCTGAAGTCCGAAAGATTTGGAAGATCAGCATTTGTCTATCACATTTTAAAAATAGCATTAAGTGGTTTGTAAGGAACCGCCGGTGGCGCAATGGGTCAAACTCTTGTGCCAGCAGGACTAAAGACTGACAGGTTGGAGGTTCGAATCTGGGGAGAGCGCGGATGAGCTCCCTCTGTCAGCTCCAGCTACCCATGAGGGGTAATGAGAGAAGCCTCCTACAAGGATGGTCAAACATCAAAACATCCGGGTGCCCCCTGGGCAATGTCTCTGCAGACGGGCAATTCTCTCACACCAGAAGTGACTTGCAGTTTCTCAAGTCACTCCTGACATGAAAAAGTGGTTTATATTTAATCAGAATTTATCAGTTTAACCACTATGGCTTCTATGATATTTTGGAGTCTATATTTCAGTTAAATTCTTTCTTGGAAAGCTATCTAGAAAACTCCCTGGACCTACAGCAGGGATTTTCAGTACCTTCCCAACCTACAAAACCTAGGATGATGCCAGGGAACATATAGTGAGAAGACACTACTAAAACGGTGGAGTGTGAATGCACCGCAAGTTGGACCCAGACTTAAGGTGTATCTACACTGAAGAATGAATGCAACTGGATACCACTTTAACTACAGTCTCTCAATGCTATGTAATTATGGGAAGGTATCAGCACTCTTTGGCAGAGAAGGGACAAAACTTTGTAAGATGACAACTCCCATGATTCCACAGCATTAAGTCAAGATTTTTATATATAAATCTATATAAATAAAAATGTAATGTTCGTTTGTGGGATTAACATAACTCAAAAACCATTGGATGAATTGACACCAAATTTGGACATAATACACCTATCGGCCCAATGAGTGACTGTTATTCATAAAACACTGGAAAACACAACAGAAGAGACTTCAAAAGCCAAAAACAAAAAAAAAAAATACATTACAACGCATGCGCAAAATCACACACAAACACATATATACGTACACATATACACACAGAAAACACATATACACAGACTGGGCAACAGCAATGTGTGGCAGGGGACAGTTACTTGAAAATAAAAAAAACACAAATTAAAAAATAATAGTAATAATAATGTGTTTACGCAATGTGTTTTGTTTATTGTTTACTTACTCGCAGCTTTGAGTGCCGCCCATGCAAGAAAAGCAGAATATAAATAAATAAATAAAACGATGACAGCTAAAGCAGCATTCATTCTAGTGTCAATGCACCCTAAATCTGAGTTCAATCTGCAATACATTTACAATAGTTTCTTCCCACTTTAAATGACAAGTTCTTAGGCTTGTCTACCGCTGCAAACTACAACTCCCAGGATTCTATAGCACTGATCCATGGCAGTTCAAGTGGTGTCAAACTGCATTCGCTCTACAGTGTGGATGCACCCAGTACATCAGTTCCCTGGATTCTGAAAGATGGCACTACGTAACATAAAAAGTGGTAAGAAAGTGCTATAACCATAGAGTGTGAATGCACCTTCGGCTGGACACATGTTTCGGCATTTCCTACTCTGGTGACGTGAGTAGTTTTTTGATTTTGCAAGGAAATGTCCGCAAACTCAGCTGCCTCTCTGCTGTTTTTCGGCCTCCTAAATCTCAGCCATTCCTGCAGGTCCTCTGGAAGAAGAGCCAAGAACTTTTCCAGGATAACAGCGTCAACCATTTGCTCCTTGGTTCTCCTTTCGGGGAGCAGCCAGCCATGGACAGCATCGCTCACGCGGGAGAGGGTCTCTTGAGGGGTTTCTCCAGCTGGAATGGGGCTCAAATGGCAACTCAACCCAGGATATTCCAGCCTGGCTGGTGGTGGATCTATGGCATCTTCCCTGGAGAGGAGACGCTGCTGAGACGTCTTTTTAGGTGATGGCAGATCTTGGAGGATAACTTTGTTGTTCCAAATCCTGTATTGCACCCTCTTCATCTTCCCAAATAAAGTCCTTCCTTAAAATCTGCCAAGGCAAGAGGAAGATCCAAAATCTCCTTAGATAATCAATTACTCTCAAATCTTCAGATCTGTACACTCAGGGTGCATCTATATAGCTTGGGTCCAGACTGTCTGAAAGACTGTATCTCCCTATATGAGCCAGCTATGTTTTAAGATCTTTGGGGAAGGGCTTTCTAACAACAACAACAACAACAACAACATCAACAACAAAAATTATCTGCCTCTCCTTGCAGCTTGAGGTGGGCAAAACATTGTTAAATCAGCAAAGTTAAACAAGGCATTCTTAATATACATATAACAAATTAACACAGGTGCAATGGCAATCTACACTGCAGAATTAATGCTGGTTCAAACCAAACAATCTGGTACCTCACCAGATTACAACTCCTAGGATTCCATTGCATTGCATAGCATCATACCAGTTGAAGGGGGTGTCAAACTGCTTTAATTCTTCAATGTAGATGCATCCAAAGTGTCTGACAAATGAGGTCCTTTTTACAACGCATGTTTATCCCTCCCTAGCCGCCCCCATTTCTTTGTTGTCCACTGTCCAGCTAACATATTTTTAATAGCTTCTATATTGGGAGGATGGTAGGGAGGGATGGAGAAATCCAGACTCTCCATATTTCATTGCAATAGTGGGTCTGATGGGAGCAATACTATAAAGCATAAGCTGGGAAATAATGGGATACTGCCAGACAAGACAGAGGTACTCCTGGTCAGTCGTAAGGCTGAACAGGGCACAGGGTTACAGCCTGTGCTTGATGGGGTTACACCCCCTCCCCCGAAGGCGCAGGTTCGCAGCTTGGGAGTGATCCTGGACTCATCGCTGAGCCTGGAACCCCAGGTCTCGGCGGTGGCCAAAAGAGCTTGTGCGCCAGCTGCGTCCGTACCTTGGGAAGTCTGACTTGGCCACAGTGATCCACACTCTGGTTACTTCCTGTATAGATTATTGCAATGCTCTCTACGTGGGGTTGCCTCTGAAGACTGCTTGGAAGCTGCAATTAGTCCAACGTTCAGCAGCCAGGTTACTAACAGGAGTGGGGTACAGGGAGAACACAACTCCTTTGTTGCGCCAGCTCCACTGGCTGCCAATTAGCTTCTGAGCACAATTCAAAGTGCTGGTGTTGACCTACAAAACCCTATACCGTTCCGGCACAGTTTACCTGTTCGAACGTATTCTCCCATATGAACCATCAAAGTTGTTAAGATCTTCTGGAGGGGCCCTGAGCTCGGTCCCACCACATTCGCAATCGCGTCTGGTGGGAACGAGAGACAGGGCCTTTTCTGTGGTGGCCCCTTGGCTATAGAACTCTCTCCCAACTGAGATTAGATCTGCCCCCTCCCTCCTGACCTTCAGGAAGCTAGTAAAATCTTGGCTATGGAAAGAAGCATTCCCGGAATAAGGGCTGAAACCAGCACTAGACTAAAGTTACTATCACACATGTGGACCGAACTGGACATGATTTTATTTTGGTGACCTGGCTTATATATTTTAATCTATTTGTATTTTAACCTTTTATTGTTTGTATGATTTTTAGACTGTATTTGGCATTGAATTTTTGCTGTTAGCTGATCTGAGTCTCTCTATGGAGGTGCAGAAGATCGGGATATAAAAGTTTTAAATAAATAAATAATAAATAAATAGTCAATTCTACTGACTATGGGAAAACCAGGAATCTCCAAAGGCCTTTGGAAGCGTGATTAATTGGCATTCACATTATTTGGAATAATCATAACCTTTCGGAAAGGCATGACCTTGTTAGAGTTCATAACCTTTTGTAAAGTATGATCTGCCTGAGAAGAGTTAAAAACTCACTTGAGTCAATCTTCTTCTAGGTAAATATCCACTAGTATTCATGAAAGGCAAATTAAGTTTCTCAGTTGTTAGACTGATATGCCTAGTTATCTCTTTGAATTGTTAGGAACAAAGATATAATAATAAGAATCTTTATTTATACCCATCTCCCCAATGGGACTCGGGGCGGCTTACATGAGGCCAAGCCCAACAATACAGCAATACAGCAATGCAAATAAACAACGACAGTAAAATGTAAAAATATAAAGTAAAATACAAAACAATATAAATAAACATCAACAATATAAAATCACAATAATTTAAACACAAAAAATAAATCGCAGTGGGCAGGGCCGATAGCAAAGATTAAAAGTTTAAAAACACTGGGTGAAAAGACAATGAATTGTATCGGCACAGGGGATCAGGGGGACGAAAGTAAGGTTTATCTGTACTAGTAAGTACAGTGCTTCTGAGGACATTTTTTTGCAGGGTTTGGTCAGGTCAGAGGTTATATTGTGATCATTCTTAGTGTTTAATATTTTGATTTTTTACTGTTGTATTGCTTATTTTAATGGTTCTGTATTTTATGTTATTTTATTTCTTGATTTTTGTTGTGTTTTGTGTTATATTGTGTTTACTGTATTGATGGGTGTGGCCTTACGTAAGCTGCCCTGAGTCCCCTTTGGGGAGATGGTGGTAATAATAAAGTTTATTATTATTATTAGAAACACAACGAGATGAGTCCACAGCAGACACTCTGCTGGCTGTCGAATTGGATCACACGTTGGACACTTCCCAAGTGTCTAGGACTGTGTGATGTATCGGCGAATAATGCGTGCAGATCCCAGTAGGGTGGCCTTCTGCAGCTGATGGATGGTAATTTTGTCAGCGCCAATTGTGTTTAAGTGCAGGCCAAGGGCTTTAGGCACTGCAGCCAGTGTGCCAATCACCACCGGGACCATCTTTACTAGTTTGTGCCAGAGTCTTTGCAGATTATTATTATTATTGTTCAGTTAATCATTCCTTGAACGCACACTGGAACAGCCAAGTTTTCAAGCTCTTCCTAAAGACTTCCAAGGTGGGGGCTAGCCTTATTATTATTATTATTATTATTATTATTATTATTATAATAACTTTATTTGTACCCCGCTAGCATCTCCCGAAGGATTCGATGCGGCTTACACAGGCCGAAGCCCCAAAACACAATACAACAAAACAATACCTAAAGCAAATTAAAATAGTTAAGCAGGAAACAATAACAATAACAATACAACAAGACACTATTAAAACTGGGCCGGCCAGGGTAGGGGTACAGGGTTAAAAGTGCTGATGTGGCGGGAGGAATGTGGGATTATAAAGTAAGTGCAGTGTGCAGTGATCTTGGTTCTACTAAAGTGCTTCTAGGACTTGGTGTTGGAGGTTCCTAATCTGAAAAGGCACGTCAGAACAGCCAGGTTTTCAAATTCTTTCTGAAGACTGCCAATGTAGGGGCCTGTCTGAGATCTTTTGGGAGGGCGTTCCAAAGTCGGGGGGCCACCACAGAAAAGGCCCTGTCTCGCGTCCCCACCAAGCGCGCTTGCGACGCGGGCGGGATCACGAGCAGGGCCTCTCCAGATGACCTAAGTGAGTGTGGGTTCGTAGACAACGTTACGGTCACGCAGGTAGGGTGGTCCCAAACCGTTCAGGGCTTTGTAGGTAAGCACCTGCACCTTAAATTGGCTCGGAAAATAAACGGCAGCCAGTGGAGCTCCCTAAACAGGGGGGTTGACCTCTCCCTGTAAGGGGCCCGTTAGCATCCTGGCTGCTGCCCGTTGGACCAGTTGGAATTTCCGAGCCGTTTTCAAGGGCAGCCCCACGTAGAGCGCATTGCAGTAATCCAATCTAGAGGTGACTAAGGCATGGACCACCCCGGCCAGATCAGCCTTCGCGAGGTACGGGCGCAGCTGGCGCACAAGTCTCAGTTGTGCAAAAGCCCTCCTGGCCACCGCCGACGCCTGAGCCTCAAGCGTGAGCGATGAGTCCAGGAGGACTCCCAACTGCGGACCTGTGGCTTCAGGGGGAGTGTAACCCCGTCCAACACAGGTGGCCACCCTATAACCCCGATCCGGTTTGCGATCGACCAGGAGGACCTCTGTCTTGTCGGGATTGATCTTCAGCTTGTTCGTCCTCATCCAGATAGACACAGCGGCCAGGCACTCGTCCAACACCCGAGAGGCCTCCTTGGAATTAGGTGGAAAAGAGTAGTAGAGTTGTGTGTCAACTGCATAGAGATGGCACCCAACTCCAAAACTCCAGATAACCTCTCCCAGCGGTTTCATGTAGATGTTAAAGAGCATGGGAGATAGAATAGAGCCTTGCGGGACCCCACAGGTCAAAGGCCAGGGATCCGAGCAGGCGTCTCCCAGCTTCACCATCTGGGTTCGTCCCTCCAGGAAGGACCGGAGCCACGACAGAACCGTGCCCCCGAAACCCATCCCAGAGAGACGACCCAGAAGGATACCATGATCGATGGTATCGAAAGCCGCTGAGACGTCCAAGAGAACCAACAGAGTCACACTCCCCCTGTCCAGCTCTCTACGGAGGTCATCCACCAAGGCGACCAAGGCTGTCTCGGTGCCGTGGCCAGGCCTGAAACCAGACTGTGACTGATCTAGGTAGTTGATGTCATCCAAAAAGCCCTGGAGCTGGGAGGCGACCAGCCGCTCCAGCACCTTACCCAAAAAAAGGGAGGTTGGAGATTGGTCTGTAATTGTTCAGCACCGTGGAGTCAAGGGAAGCCTTTTTGAGGAGTGGGCGAACCACAGCCTCTTTCAGACCAGATGGAAAAATCCCTTGCTCCAACGATGCGTTAATAATCAACACAAACCAATCAACCAACCCCTCCTTGGCAGATTTAATGAGCCAGGATGGGCAAGGGTCTAGAGTCGAAGTGGTCGCCCTCACAGCCCCAAGGACCTCTTCCACGGTCTCAGGAAGAACAAGCCTAAAAGAATCCCACAAAATTGGACAAGCAGATACCTCAGTCACCTCATCTGGCCCTGCGATGAAATTGGAGTCGAGCTCAAGGCGTATCTGAGCAACTTTGCCTGCGAAATGGTGTGCAAAGTCGCAACACCGAGCTGCTGGGTCGTCAGAGATCTCCTCCACCACAGGTGGGTGAAGGAGCTCCCCGACAACCCGAAACAGCTCCGATGATCTATTTGCTG